TACAGCATCACTAATATTTTCTTTCTTATTTTAATTGCATTAATATTGATAAGCAGTTAATAGCATTTTCTTAAAATTATGGTCAGAGGCATAGGCATTTGATTTATAATGGTATCTGCAGACCACTCTTTTATTGAATTAATTTGTTTTGTTTGTATTTCCACAATTGTAAATGCTGTGAGTTAAGTGACCACTTTGCTTCAACTACAGGAGAATGTGAAAACACTCCAGGAGAGAGGGGTTACATATGTCAATGCAAACTCATCCACAGAAGGTAAATTTTATTTCAGATTGTCATTAAATAGTATACCAGCATTTAAGTCTATCAACTCCAACTCATAAACTAAGATTACCCTCTTTCTATGAGATGCCTCAATAATACCTCCATTTTTCCATTTTACCAGAGAGAAAATTATTATGATTCATAACTAAGCTATTGATCCTGACTTCTTTAGTCTGTGTACCATTTGCCTATCTTGGATTACTACTTAAAACTTTAGTAATTTTCACATTCTTCCTGCCGAGCTATTTTTAAGTTGGGCTAAAATATTTCGTACAGAAATACTTCCTGTATGTATTGGAATGACTCTGACATAAGCACCCACTACAGACTTCCTTTTAACCCTGACATGTGGCATGTGTATCTGTAGGCTTTCATCGTATTACAGTTGTTTCTAGGTAACTGTCACAGGACACATGTTAGTTACTGACATGCTCTAGTCTAATGTCTTGATATTGAATTGAATGAATGAATAAAAAATGAACATTATGGCCTTACTGCTTCCTTTGCCAAAGACCCCTAAGTGCTGCTGCTGTAATGAGCAATGACCCTTACTGTTACTGTGGGAGCTGCAGCCTTAGCAGCAGAGTCCGCCTCTACAGTCTCCTATCCCGAGTGTGTGCTGCAGCCTCTCTGGCTCCTGAAGAGTTATTTCCACCTTTGTGTTTTAGTTTTAGCCAGACTGTCTGTCTGTCTGTCTGTCTGTCTGTCTGTCTATGTATCTATTTACCTATCTAGCTATCTATTCTAAAATTTTATTTATTTGTTTTTACTGAAGTGTATTTGACTTGTAAAATTAGTTTCAGGTGTACAGCAAAGTTATTAGTTATATATATACATATACATTGTTTTTAGATTCTTTTTCATTATAGGTTATCATAAGATACTGAATGTAATTCCCTGTGCTATACAGTAGGTCCTTGTTGTTTATCTGTTTTATATATAATACTGTATATATGTTAATCCCAAACTCCTAATATATCATATATCTCTCCCCTTCCCCCTTGGGTAACCGTAGTTTCTTTTCTATGTCTGTGAGTCTATTTCTGGTTTGTAAATAAGCTCATTTGTATCATTTGTTTTTTTTACATTCCACATATAAGTGATATAATTTGATATTTGCCTTTCTTTGTCTGACATACTTCATTTAATATGATTACTCTCTAGGGTCCACCCTGTTATTCTCCAGGAATGATGCCTTCAATTTGAAGTCTGTTATATCTTGTTTATAATTAGAAAATAAAGTTAGAATTAAATAGAGGTTTGAAGTCCATTTGGAGGTATTAAAATACTCTCTTATTTAATTTGCAGGCAATTATACTCTCAGAGTGGACTGTACACCCCTTCTTTTCCAGTTGGTATATAAACTGACAAAAGAGGTATGTAAATTGATCTGTCATAATGTTTTCTGATGAGTAGATAAATCAAAAACTTTTGTTTTCTAAATCACTTATATTTAAACTGGTGACAGACATAGCTGATTTGTATAAATAACAAATCAGAATGAGCTTAATACACTACTTATGTGACATAACTATGAGAACAGTAGTGCTATTCTCTTTGAATAATAGTTCCTAATAATTGTATAGATTTGTTATAACGTGCAGGGTCTATTGTTTCATGGGGCAGAGTCTTTTTGATATAACAGAATACTGAGCTGGAATGGGGAAGCCTTGGCTGTGAAGATTGCCTTGGCTATTCATTCATTCATTCATTCATTCATTCATTCAGCAAGTATTTATTGTGTGGTTACTATGTATCAGGTCCTATGAAAGGAACTCTAGCAGCAACAGTGATAAAAGTACAAGGTTACTGAATCCAAATACAGAGAGGCCACAGACCTGTAAATGAGGACTCATGCTTCACTTGAATAGTGGATACTACATACAGTGGAGGACAATTATGGAAGAGAGAAGCTAAGACCCTGGGGTAGCTGGTGAGGGTGGGAAGCATTAGAAGGTGTTTACAGAAGATTTAGTGGTTGGGCTGTAAAATGGAAGGATGTGAAAGTGGAGAGAAGGTTTCTCCTCTGAGGACACAGGACCTAATAAATGTGGATGTGTGAAAGAACATATTTCCTGACCTCTGGGTAATGCAATATAACCTAAATGTAAGGTGTTGGTGAAAAGCTGGTAAGAAATGGGGCCTGACACATAGACCTAAATGTTCATAAATCTGGTGGTGGAGAAATTAAAGAATCCTTAACAAGGTTGTACATTATCATATTTATTCATTAGAAAGATTACTCTGTATCAGTGCAGTGAATAGGTTAAGCTGTAGTAAGTCTAAAAGCAAAATGGAAGTAATTCCACATGCTTATTTAGCAAACAGGAATTTATAACTACTAGTTATGTAAAAAGTACTCTGAAAACTCTATTGCACTCTGAACCTCTAAAAATTATGTAATCCCTCATTGAGTATATGTGTGCTTCATTTAAATAATCCCCCATTATAGAATTTAACTGTAGAAATGTTTCTTTCAAGTAGGTATCACTTAGATGACAGTGGGAAGTAGATGTCACATCTCTAGGTCCTGTTTCCCAGTCTCCCTTCATCTTGCCCTGTCCTTTTCACTGTTCGTGTCTTTAACATCTCATCCTCCCAAGTGAGCATCCTCCCATGCCCATCACAACCCCCACCATACTGGGAAGCTTAGGTCCTTGATCCTTTTATTGAAATGTCCCATAAAAACATCTTATCTAAAAGCACGCTGTAAAGACAGTCCCTGTTGGAGAATCCTTTTCAGGAGATACATTTACACTCTGTCCTACAGAGGAGGCTTCTGCCTTTATAGGAGGGGTAGTAAGAA